TGAAAGTGGGAGACAGTTCCCATGCTGCCTGATTTTGAGGGGGTAAGTTTCACCATGACAAGATATTGTATGACATTGGAATATGTTAGTGTAAAATCAAAGCTCTCCATCAACTGATATCCTCTGAGAATAATAGTTGCAGGTGATGCAATAAATTAAGGGAATACTTTGGATATGGCCAAATTTAAAATTAAGCACCATTTTTACCAGCCTGGTCTATCCTACTGTTTCTTCTACTGTGTTCAGTGCCACAGTATCTTGTATCCTGACACAAGAACGATGCCTCCACAGTAGTAACTGGTATCAAAAACTCTGCTGAGTTACAGTTAAATACTGCATGTGCACATTAACTCATGTCATTGGTCCCTTCTTTATGATTCATTGAGCTGTAACATTTCTATTTAAGCAGGGAACACACACACATACACACTGCCAAATTACCAGGCATCTTGGCCCAGATGGTTGAACCTGTATGCCTAAAGTTATGACTTGACTTTTAGAGGCACTGACCATCCATAAATCCTGAGTGATAGCACACAGGTTAAAACATTTAGGGTGAATCCACACTTTTGAACATGTTCAACCCACCCACATGCTCTCTAGGGCTCCAAACCTAGAGATGAGGAGTGAAGCTGCTCTGGGAGCAACTCTAGAGGGTGTTCTCAAGAATCCCAGAGACTGAGGCATCAACAGCGACTCTCCAGAGGGTTTTCACTGGTGCATTTTCAGCTTTGGATCATGAAATTAGGGACATCCCTGCTCTTATCCTTGTGGGACTTGGCGTAGATACACTCTTGGGCTTCTATCCTTACGTATTCTACAGCAGCATCAGCAGAGACTAGCTTTTCCCTTTCATAGCATTTGCACTAATTTTTATCTATAGAAGCATGACAACCTCCCCAGTCCTTGAAATTCATCAGCTTTAGTTTCAATTGATGCCACAGGCCTTTCACAAGACGGGTGTATTAGATCATTTTCAGCCTTTTATGATCCCTTGCCACACAATTCATTTGAAAATACCTTCTTATTTGATTGGCTGCTATGACTGTACAGATACGTGTTGTTATGTACAATACACTCATTTGTAAATAACAATTAACTAAACATAGAGAAATGTAGTCACTGTGAATTAATCACTCAAAATCTTAGGGACAACAAACGCTTAACTATACCTCACATCCTGCCCACTAAATAATGCTGTGGTTTTTGCTAATAATGTTCACTCTAAGATACTTTCAGTCTTTCCTATACAAAGCTCACTGATGCAAAGATATTCCTTTTATCAACTTCAGAGGCCCTTGGATCAAGTGAAGGTAGTTTGATAGTATACTGTCAAAGAATAAAACACCAAAACCTTTGTTTCAGCTTAACAATGAAGCTTCCGAGTCAGTCTTTATTGGCATTTGAGAAACACTGGATTGTTTTTTACTTTGTAAAAGTGAACAGCTGCCTTCAGGATGCCAGCTGTATCACTGCACAGTACATGAAAAAAGCACTGTGTCTGCAGCATATTTATGATGCCCACTTGACAGATATGTAAACTGAGACAGAGAGAAGATTGATAGTCTATGGTCACAGTTAGGAACAGAGTTCATAAGTCATCATTATTTGTATTACCGCAGTGTCTATAGACACCAGCCAAGACCAAGTCCATTCCTTAAATCATTCTGTGCAAACACATAGGCCAGGTACAGACATTACACTTTTACCGGTATAAGTGATCAGAAGCCAGTATATACCCATAACAGAACAGAAGTCTGGCACACACTGACTGGTTTAAAAATGGCAGAACCTGAGGTTTGCCACCCCCCCCCGCCCAAACAAACGGCAAACATGTTCTGTTCACTGCCAATCTAAACTACTCTGTTTACAGAAAACTGTGTACCTTAGATTGATTCCTTCTCGGGCTGTTTCAGAGCCACAGTCTCTGCACTGAAGAGCTTAGAGTTTAAATAGAAAGAAAGGGAAAAACATACATCCAGTTTAACTAGTAGAGGAGCCACGTATATATCTACATCCCCTGACACCTAGCTCTGTGCTCTATCTACTGAGGCATCTTTTCCTTTCATCACAAAGCTGCCTATGAAATCCAAACTCAAATGTACAGCTAGCAAGAACATTCTGACTCTGAATCTCATTTGGATTTTAGAAATTTAAATTTGATGCCATGGCATAAAATGGCTTTCATCATATTCATTTATCCCGCTGTCACAGGGTGCATTTTTTTGCCACTGATGAAGAGCCATTCCACATCGTTTAACACACCTTGATATCAATTAGTTATTTTTGATTATTATTTCACTTTTCATTTCAAAAGGCTGTTAGATGTTTTTCACTGAAATATGAAAGTAGCTGCACAATTTGAGAATAATACACTTTGAAGAGAGATTTAAAAAAAAAATCAAACAGCAATTACAGATAGAAGGCAGCCAAAAATGGCCAATTCTGTCAGGTTAAAGCATTTTTATTAACAGTTCTCAGAAAAATTCAAGGTCTGAGTCAGTTTTTTTAAGTGATATGTCACAATGTCTGTGGCATAGCTGACAGTGGTAAACAGATGATCTGACCCTTCACGCTAGCTCTTGACCAACCTTTCCTTGGGTCTGTCCTTATTCATTTAAAACACCACAAATCACACATATGTCTAAGCCTGAGGTTGGCTGTCTGTCCCAAAAGGTGCTCCTGTTTGTGCCCTTGCCTTCAAGAAATACTTGCATTCTTCTACACACAGCTAGTACAGAGGAAACCCCTACAGTCTGACTGTTGGGATGGCTAAATACAGACAGTCAAATGGAATATGTCCCAATACACTAGCTGACAATATACTACGTTATCTTGGTAGCAGTATAAAATGCACACTGTCTAAGATGAAATTTTGTTTTGAAGTGACCTGGGATAAATGGTGGAAATGACTAGCATCTCCAGTATACTCAGAATCTTGAATGGCCTTGCCCTGGTGATTCTTTACAGTCTATCTGAGGAAAAATAAAGTCGGCAGATTACATTTTAAAATACACACTAAGACCAGATGGATGTGCCTCAGAAGTGCCTTAAGAATCACTTTTGGTGTCTGATAATGTATAAATGGGAAGTTCAGGGTTTGCAATAATGGTGACCCAAGTAGCACCTGAAGTCCACTTTGCACTTGAGTAAATGGCTATACAGTGCACAGGGCAATAGAGAACCATGTGCAGGGCCACACATTACTGTTCAGATATGATATGTCTATTATTTAGATGCTCAGATGTCATATATTTAGGTCCTGTGGCAATGGGCACATGTACAGGGCTAGATTAACATTCAGGCAGCAAGATGGTTAGAGAAGATGCAACATTTTTTCCCTCTTCACGGTACATGTATTTTTTCAATACAAGAAATCTTAATGCTGGATTTTTTTATGTATATGGATATGTCAGTGTTCCCTTTAGAGCTATGAATTTCAGTCCTTATTACATATTTCACTATTAATGGTAAATGGTATCTCTAAAAATGCCCTGCCAATTATTCACATTTAAAAGAATACAAGCAAATAACTTAGCTTCACTCATTCTATGAAGCAGCAGCTCATAATATTAAAATATTTATATCCCAATAGAGTAATACCTCAATATCTTAGCTCCCCCAAGACTCTCTCAAAACCTAGAGAGAGAAAAAAGGAGTCCTTATAGCCTGTCCTGGCAGTTGACTCATGAGCCACACTCTAAGTAGGAAAGTGTTGCAGTAGAAAAGCCTGGGCTAAGGCTCAGCCTCTTGTTATGCATTTTCAGTTCCCCAGGATGTATGTGCCTGCTTGTCTGCTAGCTTCAGACACGGTGTCTGCCTTGAAAGTTGAGAACATGAAACTTTGTCACAAACAGGGTGTGTCTGTATGTGTGCTATGTTGTGGTAGCAATTTGCTATGGCAACATAGCGTTGATAACTGGCAAAAACTGTGACACCACAGCTACATCACTGTAGCAACATGCTCCCTCATTCTAGGGCCCAGCTACGGTGACATAGCAGCTAAAAATAACCATGTGCGGCTGGTTTAGTACTAAAGGAAATACTAAATGATGGCACTGTAACAACAGCGCCATACAGCCATGTGTAGACATGCCCATAGACTTTTAAAAACCAATTAACCCTCGCCATTCCCTTGGACCATTGTTCTAAGGCCATATCTACTCTACCTATCAGCCAATTCCTAAAAGTAAATCTCTAAATATCATTTTCTATCCATCAACAAGTAGTACCCTGCTGCAGAGTCTTTTTTTTTACTCTGCAGCACTGCACATGCAGATACTGACACATCTGGCTGGGACATAAGGGTGCTTTAGTGTAGGGGCTGCCTGCTGGTTAGCCTAGCACAGGAGCACCCTTGTACCCCAGCCAGCACCTCCGCAGCATGCTGAGTCAGGGGGGAGGAGGGGGAGCAGCCTCAAGCTGGCAGATTGACCCCCCCGGGACTGCTTTCATAGATTCATAGATTCATAGATTAAGGGTCGGAAGGGACCTAGTAGATCTTCTAGCCTGACCCCCCGCCAGGGTGGGAGAACAACAAAAAACCCCAAAAAGAGAAACGGGACTCAAATGAGTCCAGCCAGGTAGGCATCCAGCCTCTTCTTAAAGACCCCCAGGGTAGGGGCCAGCACCACTTCCCTTGGAAGTTGGTTCCAGCTCCTAGCCGCCCTAACTGTGAAGTAGTTCTTGCGGATGTCCAATCTATACCTCCTCTCCATCAACTTGTGCCCATTACTCCTTGTTATGCCAGCGGGCGCTAGGGGAAACAGCGTCTCCCCCAAACCCTTCTGGTCCCCCCTAGTGAGTTTATAGACGGTCACCAGGTCCCCCCTCAGCCTTCTCTTGTGGAGGCTGAATAGGTTCAGGTTCTGCAGTCTCTCACTTTGACCTAGCTCAACATGCTGTGGCCCTGGGCACACATTTATATGGCATGCCCAGGAGCACTAAGTTCTGGGGTTTATTGCTTTGCATTAATTCCATAAGTAGATATGCCCAGAGAGCAGCAAATGGTGTATATTAGGCTCCCTAGCTGTTGCCATTCTGTTATTTACTGCTACTTACCAGTATTTTCAAGGAAAAAATTATTTTTAAATTCATTCTGCCTTTGAAAAACAAGCTATATATCTTATCGGGAGAGGGGGACAATGCCAGCATGTCTCTCCTCCATATCCCTCGCTGTGTCCCCAACATCTTTGAAAGGAGGATAGTTAGGAAGGAAGACCAGAAACCTTGAAACACTGACAGTAGCTGATACAACCGCATAGCTGTCAGGAATACCATACTTTTAGGTGTGGGCCATGTCTGAGATGTGGACTGTGTAGTATGTGAAAGAAAGAAATTTGGAAGCGATGTAAACTAGCTGTGTAACTAGAAGAAACCAATCAATGTGAGAAAGGGTATTTCAGTTTTCAAAAATAAGAACTTCAATAACCAAGTGTAAGAATCAGGACTTTTACTTCTGCATGAAGTGCAAATCTCAACCTAACCTGATTTATGAAGTAATCAGCACCCGCTCCATAGCACATATGCTTCATGTGTACAAAGAGTATGAGGCTTTTTCTATCAATTTGTACAATCATTTACAGGAGTGAAAAGCAGGTGTAAAATGCTACCACCATGATGGTCCAGGAAATGTGAGAGATGCAAGGATTTTTGTGAGTGATATATCAACTGGATATGTAGAATATACTTAGACACACTTTCAAATGCAATGCATTCTTCATCAGGACCTCTAGGATCTAAAGATCTGTTTTAGTCCTTTACCATGCAGAGTAGGCAAAACACTAGCAGGTGAAGACAGGGTCATCTTACAAAAAGCCTGGTTTTGCAGGGTGTTAACTTCCATTGGACCAACTGCATAGTTGGGTATAAGTTTACAAACGCAATGTATTCTTCAGCAGGTCTTTCAATGCACGCATGCTAATAAACATGTCTGAGACAGCAAGCTTATGGTTGCAGCACTGGGTATGCACCAAGACAGCTATGTTGCATCTATTTCAAGATGCAGCATGTGTGGAACAGTGCAGCGTCCCTTCATTGTGGCTCTCTTTAGCATAGGCTGTGCTTAAACTACTGCTTTATATCAATTATTATTAGTTTTTCTATTGCCATCTTTTCCCAATTAGCTGTAGGGAGAATTAGAGTTGCTCATGTAACATCACCATAGCTTTTGTTCCACAATGGTCTAAAAACTTTCCACAAGCAGCTGGTATATAACTATCAAACTTCTCAGAAGAGCTTGTTGAAACTCAGGGTTTTTGTTCCATGGATGTTTTAATATTTCAAACTTTTTGTTACTGAAAAAAGATGACTAACTCCTGCACAAAAGAAAATTTTCAATAAAATGTATTTTTGGTCAGTCATTTTGGGTTTCATAACACCTAAATCTTGCTTCCAACTCTGACATTTTACATTTTATGATTTGATATAAAATGAAATAAAAATGTTAAATGCAAAGTTGTTTAGAAATAAAAAAATAAAAACACTATTCCATCAAAACACTTTTATTCTAAACAAAATGTGTTTGGAATTAACACATTTCTGCAGCATGATTGCAACAAAATGTCATTTTCCAATGGGAAAGAAAACCCATTCTGTCAGGAAATTTTCCACCAGCTCTACTTTATAGTCATTGAATTACTTGGTGATTCCTTTCTCTCTCTCTCTCGACTTCAACAAAGAATTAAAAAATCTTTTGGCTTTAACCATTAAATTCTCATCAGACATAGATTAACAATAAACTAAGTGTCTTTCACCTTGAAATCCTACCCTTTTCTCATTGTGCTAACCCTTTTACCCTAGGGGGCTTTCCTTCATTTCATCCTTGAACCCTGCCTTCAGCAAGGCCTGGGAAATACTGTACAGTAAATACCCTTTTGTCCAGTTCTTCTAAACAGGATGATTGTGCTTGGTCCCCTGGAGACTGTCTTGTGAAGCTTTCCACTGCTGTGTCTCTGGGGTCTAAAGATTGCCAGTGTTATAAATCATCTGCATTTTACGGAGTCTCCAACATCAGGGAAGCAATTTCCAGGAGACAGGAGGGGGGTCTCCCTTCATTTTTCAAAACCTTGCAGTGGAAAATAGTTATAAATGGGTTTCCATTCTATCACATATTGGAAAAAGCCTTTATAGGAGCATGTTTTGCATTTAGATTAGCACAAGATCTGTCATTAACTGTTGTGGGGAATGACTGATTTTTCAATACAGCTGCTGTGGCTATTATTTTTAATTACACTCCTGCTGCTGTAAATTGATTGTGGTTTATATCCACAATAATTTAAAATGGAAGGTGAGATGGGGAATGTGTAGAGATGCAAAAAACAAAGATGTTTGATATTGATAGGAAATAAAATGTTGGGCATTAAAGCAAGCAATTTAGTATTAAAACGTGAAATCAAAACAACGAGCGAAAACAACACTAAACTACAAACTGAATTATGCATGATGCATGGTAACACAAGATGTTGTACCTATCAGACTCCACTTGCCCAAGGACTAGAACTCGAACACAGTCTGGGAAGCAGAGACAACGCCAGCGTGTTAATCCTAGAACTTGGGAAAATATTTTCAACATACAGTAAAGACACAAGAAAATGGAGTTTGAGGAGGACCGAAGCCACTTGTGAACTTGGGTCAAATTTGGTGAAGTTTCAGCTATTACAAGAAGCTGAGGAATATAAAACTTTGGAAAAACTGAAGTATTTAATTAGGGACTAGGTCATAACACCTAGTCGACTGCTCTAAAAGGTTGCCAACCCCTGCCCTAGATAACTGACACACACAGGCTTCAGAACTAAAGCTTCTAGAAGCCTATGCTAATGTAAACTTTGGCCACAGTGATTCTGATGTATAATGCCTGGTGTTGGTCTTTCAATGTTATAATTTAATAAAATCCCTTATCTCTGGGCAGTAATAGAAGATTCCAGGAAACAGACTCTTGCCCTCAGCCTACCTTTTCCTAGGAGAAGTGCTCTTGAACTGGTTTTTGGCCCAAACAAAGAATGCTGGCCGCTCTTGGAGGTGGGACAAGTGGACACTTCTATAGCAGACACCCAAATGAGTCTATTAACCATGTATCAGGAGCTGTGATGCAATCATCAACCCATCAGCTACCTCCAGTTTTCAAATGTTGCAGCTCTGCAACAGTTTAAAGTCCTGTGTGGGATTTTACAATAGAGGTTTGACCCGAAGAGAATGCTAGAGACAAACTACCATGAACTTGAGGTTATTTTGGATACAAATCTCAGTGGCAATAATAAGCACCTTTCACTAGAATGGAGACAAAAATTCCAATTTCAAAGACTCCTAAATCCTTGCAAAATTTGAATTTGGAACTGAATTATACCAGTCATGTCCACTGCTCTCATTTAGAGAAAATATTTGGCCTAGGATGGTATACACACAATAAACAAGAGAAATGACACAGCATGACTGACCTATAATACTCCAATTTACAAATCCCACTACTGTATGCTGAGTAGTCATTCTAGGTAATGCATGTACCTGCCATTGTTCAGTACTACCTTGTATATTTGACACTAACAGTTTGTCTTCCAATACCAGCAAAACATTGTTTCTTACCTGGTACAAATAGGTAGCTCTGTCAGCTCCAGCGACATTGCATACGTACATACAAACTTTGGTTGGTCCTGCTGCTCCCATAAAAAACCCCCCTATGAAGCTGTTGAGACATACAGCCCTCAAGAGCTTAAAAACAATTTATACAGAACTGAGGGTTAGGAACCTACTGAATCCCCATAAAAACAGAATAAAGCAGCACTATTATAAAGATGCTGAGGGATCACATTAACTCAACAGCATGTTAACCTGAAACACATTGTACTTCTTTTGTCCAGGCTGTGCAAGCTGTAATGATGATAAAGATTCCCTTGCCAATTTTCCCATTTCTTTTTGCTTAAGTCAACAGTAATTGAGTATGATCAGTACCCACTGGTGATTTTATCACCAAATATTTATTATAAATTTGCTGTCTGTATTAGCAGTCAAACAATGAATCAAACCCACTGGATCCAACCATTAGGGGTATGCGAAGCAGGCCCTATTTGATTCAGATTCGCCCCAAATCAGGGACACTGATTCAATTTATTGATTCAGATCACTGTTCCTGATTTGGTTCAGCCAAATCCAAATCTAAAATTCAATGCCAATTCAGAGAATCAGCGATTCAGGCATAAACACAGCTTCAAAAGTTTTTTCTACATACCTCTAGGTAGCGGGCAGCTCGTGAGTGCTGCGATGCTGGGGTGCATGGAGCATCCCACAGAAGGCTCCCCAGCATGCTTGGCAGCAGACCCAGAAGTGAACCAGAAGCACTTCCGATTCACTTCTTCCTCCACCGTGATCAACCCAGGAGGCACCAGTTGCTGAGCTGGGCAGGGGGCCCACACGGCACACTCCCCAGCAGAACCAGAAGTGCTTCTGGTCCACTTCCAGGACTCCTGTGGGACACTCCATGCACCCCAGCATTGCAGCACTCATGGGCTGCCTGCTACCTAGAGGTATGTAGAAAAAACATTTAAAGATGTGTCTATGTCCAAATTACTGAATCTCTCCAAATCGATTCAGAGGGTTCCAATTCAATTCAGAGAGATTAAAGGGTTCTCTGATTCCATTCAGATTTGGAGAATCAGGGACTGAAGCTTCATACAGCCCTACCAACCATGTTATAACTCTGTGCAGACTCATTTAACTTTTCTGTTTGGGATTACATCTAATCAATAAGAGATACCATGGTAGAAATACACGATAGTTATAACTTGTAAGAGAATTAAACATCTCTGTCCAAAAGAGTAGAAAGTTTCTACCCAGAGGCCTAAACAACTTTTGATAGAAACATTTTATTTCCCTTTTAGTAGGGAGGAAGATAGGAGAATTAAGATAATATTTTACACTTTGGTAATTTTTTAAAAAATAGAAATAAACCATTTTCTAGGTGTTTTAACCTACTTTTTAAAAAGGTAATCATTTTATTTGTAGCAGAGTAACATTCAG